CACCACTTAAGGGTTTCTATTTAATCGATAATCTTTGTACAATCTACAAAGCACAGGGAAAGTTGTTCCCAGGATCGTGTTGCACGCTGAGTTTCCGGTTTCACTGAACGATAACAATAAACCCCCTGCTGCACAGTGGTTGAAAACTGGAGTTTAGTGCTCGTAGTTCACTGGAGCCTTCAATTTTCACTTAATTTGATTAGTTTTTATTTTTGTTTTGCGAAAGCTTACAATATTTGCACGAGACCAGTTGAGCGTGATTTCTGAATTATTAGTTGATTATATTAAATTTTTTAGTGCAAAATGCAGAAAAAGTAGCAATTTTGAAGAAAATTTATTCTCCTCTTCCAGTTAATAAATGTTACATAACAAAGCTAGTTGAAAACAATTGTATAGTTCTCCCTAAACAAAAAAAAATACACAAACGAATTTTTAAATGTTATAAAAAAAATTTTCACCAAAATAAATATTTTTTTTGGTTTTTAGTAAAAATTGGTTGAAAAATTAATTATGAATTACTAGCTGTACCCTGCCACGCTTTGCTGTGGCATATTCCCGTTACATGGATGATAAATTATTAACGAAACAAAGCATACGTTTCATATGAGTTTGATTTTGTAATAAGTACTTGTGTGCACACAATATTTGTCGTGTTTCCATTCTCTGCATTAATATAAAGGATATCTGGCGCCGACACGGGAACACGCAACATCTAAGAACCAATCCGCATCTCAATCTAAACCACACTTTTCCAAAGGATAACCTTGAGCATTATTGATTGTGATTCCGAATGCGAATCGAATTGGGAATTGCAGTCTTTTAAATCGAAATGGTCTATCGGTCGGAATCATGGGAATTCTTCTCCTTTGAAAGGCCACGTAAAAATCTTTACTTACACTACGTTCTTCATAAATTTCTTAACTGCGTGTACTGTTGCGGAGTTTTGGCTGATTAATATTCCGCAACGTGATAATTGGCACACCTATTTTCAATTTAGTATGTGGGGTCATCCCCGGAAGATCAATCGAGTTCAAAATTTCGTTGGATAATTAACTGATTCGTCTTCTTCCACAAGGGTGTTTATCGACGTATATGTTATTGTTTAAGCGACTTGTGCATTTTCCGCTTAAACAAAGAACAGCGAACACACAGACGCACTTGTTTTTAAAGGTAATTCGCTCGTTTTTTATTGGATATGAATTTTTTATGCAATTCTCAAAAATCGCTTCGCTGAACTTACGCTAACCCAACTTGTCTATCACACGGTGCTTTAAGCATCACCCACACTCCACTCCCGGAGTAATTTTTGGCATGGTATTAAGCTACTGCTTACAAACCACACTGGGGCTCTGCACGAATGCATCCCTGGAATAATCCCAGCTCATTGCCCAGCAGCCTAAGGCAGCTAGAGCATGACTCCTCCAATGGAGTCCCCCCATGAATACACGGTGAAAGGGTCACATCTTGCGCTACCGCTTCATCAGCCTGCCCGCATATCTCTCTCTCTCTCTCTTTCTCTTTCTCATATCAGGCATATGAAGTGCGTGGCTGACTTGATGTGCACCTTTAACCATACGGGCTCATTGAGCTCGATACATACATAAATACTCGCAAAGGTAATCCCTACCTCCTCAACTAATCTAACTCGACCACAACTCTAAACCTGGTCTCCCGCTCTCCCTCAGCTAAACAGTTATTTCCTCACTTTGAATGCAGTGAGTGAGCGTGTGGCCTGACAGTCTGGTAAAAGAGTAGACCAGCTCAAGCAACGACTGTTGTCAATACCACTCTTAATTAGTTGATAGACATCTTTATTCTTCGCAGCAAGAATAGC